TGAGGCTGCCCCTGGCCTTGGCCGTACTCGGGTTTTATCTCCTCCTGCCCGCCCAGGGCACCAACTGTCACCCCAGAACCCGCCTCCTCCTGCCGGCCTCCCTCCCCTCGGCCACCCAGTGCCCTGAGCTGCGTTGTCTCTGCCTGTGAGTCAGGCGGCCATAAACACCCGCAGGACCTGGGACTGCTACAAAGTTCACTGGGGACAAGCGGGAGGGGCAGGCCGCCAGCTCCCGCCCCTCCCCTGCCCAGGCTGGGTCTTTCCATCTGCTTCTCCTCTGTTGTCTCTCCCTCTGGGAGCTCCTACCCTGGAACCCCGCTCAGGTCTCTTCACCTTCTGCCCCAGCGGGACCGGAGAGACCCCCGCGAGAGGCATGATGGGGCCCCTGGCTCCAGCTGGCTGCGCCCTGCGACAGGCCAGGTCCTCCCGGTGCCGCGCTGCCTGCGTGACTTACAAACCAGAGCCGGCGAGATGGTTCCAGGAGCGCGCGTGCCTGTGGCTGGACGTTTGGAAACTAAAAATGCACAAAACCCCCAAATTGCCCCGTGACCCCAGAACCCAGTCAGCTGCGACCATCCTGCGTGCGGTTCTGTGTTCTCCTAGAACAGGGGTGGGCAAACTTTTTGACTCGAGGGCCACAATGGGTTCTTAAACTGGACCGGAGGGCCAGAACAAAAGCATGGATGGAGTGTTTGTGTGAACTAATATAAATTCAAAGTAAACATCATTACATAAAAGGGTACGGTCTTTTTTTTTTTTTAGTTTTATTCATTTCAAACTGGCCGGATCCAGCCCGCGGGCCGTAGTTTGCCCACGGCTGTCCTAGAACCTGCTCTCTCTGCCGTGGCGGGAAGCGGTGCGGCTGTGCAGACAGGCGCACGGCTCATCCGGTCCCTCGTGTGCACATGTCCACCTTGGAAACGGAATCCCTGGGGCTGTTTCAAGGCCCGGCCCCTCGGGCGGCCTTTCCTGTCCAGTCCTGGTCCCACAGCCTGCCCTCTGCCCACTCTTCACTCCTCAGCACAGGGGTGGGGAACATCCGGCCCATGAGCCGAATAAGGCCCGAGAAATCATTGGGTCTGGCCCTGCCAAGGCCTTAGTGGTGAATTAATTAAATGTTTGACCAAGTATAAGCAGGCTAGTTTTTAAGTTGCTAATTCTGTATGGAATGGTGTTATAAATATCCAAATGGCCCTGACAGAGAAAAGGGTCCCCACCCCTGCCTACACACCGGCATTGAACGCATCATTAGGCTCCAGTAGGTGCCGGCTGGCTGTGGCCTCTGACCCATCTGGGCAGGGACTGTGACTGTGCATGAACCGCTCACTCAGCGAGGTCGTCTGAGCCCTCAGCTCCGTGGAGACGCGTTGGGGAGGGAAGGAGCCCTGTCTGGGGAGGGGAGGAGGCCTGCACCCACCCACCCTCATCCACCCGGGAAGAGTGTGCGCGGGACAGTCACCTGCCCGAGGTGGCCCTGAAAGCCAGCAAAGAAAACGGAAACACTAGCTCGAAAGCCACCTGCCCCCCTACGCTCACGGCAGCGTATTCACCGCGGCAGGATGCGGAAGCCGCACAGGAGCCCGCAGAGAGGAGTGGCTGAAGGGGACGTGTACAGACACTCAGCCACGGGAAAGAAGGAAACTGCCATTGGTGGCAGCACGGATGGACCTTGAGGGCATTTCTAAGTGAAACAAGTCAGACAGAGAAAGACAAATACGCATGATTTCACTTACATGTGAAATCTAATAAACACAAACAAAAAACCCCAAACAAAAACACTCATGGAATCAGAGATTAAACTGGTGGTTGCCGGTGGGAGGGCGCGGGGAGCCGGGGGAAAAGGTGACGGGGTTGTAGTAATGACACTGTCACAGCTTTGCAGGGTGACAGGTGGTTAGGAGACGTGGTGTGGCGAGCACATCGTAAGGCATGTGCATTTCGAATCCCTATACTGTACACTTGAAACTAATGTGATACCGGATGCCAACTACACTTACAGAAATAAATCACATAAAAGCCAGCGCAGTAGGGCTGGGTGTTCCCAGTGGGTTCCCAGAGGAGGTGGCTGTGAGCAGGCCCGCGGCAATGCCCAGCGCCTGCACTGAACTGGGGCCACTGGGGAAAACCAGTGAATTGATTGGCATTTGCAGATTCCTAAGATCCATGTTGAACAAAAAGTTCAACAAACATTCATCGATATCTAACCCCCCATCTCCCCCCAGGGCCAGTTGGAGGCCATTCGTATGAGGGGGCAGGAAAAACCCACCTGCGAGCATGCAGGGCCCCTCCCAAAGACCGCACTTCCTCAACACAGAATGCGGGCCCAGCCCTGGGCAGGCAGTCGCCTCTGGCCTCGCACCAGCTCCTCCCCCCTAGGAGGCGGCGTGGGAGCAGATGGATGTCCTAAGTGGAGGCAGTACTGCCAGTGCCCCCAGGGCCCCCACGTTCACTGTGTGGCCTCCCGCAGCCAGTCCATCAAGCACTTCATTACCCGCCTCGGGTGTGTTGCTTCCCGGGAGCTCTCAAGAGACAGTTCATCTTCTTAACAAACCGTGATGATTTGCTAGCATCACCGAGGCTTCGCTGGTCTCCGGCCCCGCCCCTTAGGGAGGCTAAAGGCTTCGTCTGGGGCCGTGGTCGGCAAACTGCGGCTCGCGAGCCACATGCGGCTCTCTGGCCCCTTTGAGTGTGGCTCTTCCTAAGCCTTAGGAGTACCCTGATTAAGTTAATAACAATGTACCTACCTATATAGTTTAAGTTTAAAAAATTTGTCTCTCAAAAGAAATTTCAGTCGTTGTACTGCTGATATTTGGCTCTGTTGACTAATGAGTTTGCCGACCACTGGTCTGGGGCACTTTGCAGACTTGGCCTCACCCGGAGGGAGGGGCTTCTTTACTTGATTTTTTTTTTGCATTTTCCCGTGATCTGTGGGGTAGGGTCTGCAACCAAGTGTCTGGGCTGTGAACCCTACCCATGTTGAAAGCTTGGCCGCTCTGTACCTCATTCATTTGCTAGAGCAGGTCCAATGCGGGCACTTGGCTGTGCCCCGGGGATATGACGATGGAGCAACACAGCCCAGCAGAGGAAAAGACACGATAACATCGCTGGTTCCTGCGTGTGTGCTGGGGAAAGGGTGTGCACGCTAAATGCCTTGTCGTTCAACCCTCACAACAACCTGGAGTTAGAGAGCACTGTCCCCATTGTAAATGTGTTCCTTTATTGATTGAGAGAGAGAGAGAGAGAGAGAGAGAGAGAGAGAAACACTGATTTTTTTCTCCCACATATTAATGCATTCATTGGCTGCTTCTCATATGTGTCCTGACCGGGGATTGGACCCCCAACCTTGGCGTAGCGGGAAGACTCTCTAACCCACTGAGCTACCTGGCCAGGGCTCCTCATTTTATAGCGGAGGAAACTGAGGCACAGAGAGGTTCGTTAAGTTGCCCTGGTTACACAGCTGGTAAGTCAGGGTGAGGTGCCACCCCGGGCAGCTGGGCTCCAGCATGTGTTCTGGGCCGCCCTCCCGTGGGCGAGATAACTCCTCATGGCAGCGGTTCTCAGAGCAGGTGCTCACGGGTGGCAGGTGGCACGGCCCTGCCTGGGAGAGTTTGGGCATTTCCTCCTCCGCCAAGGGCCTCAGCGCAGGAGAGTGCCGCCCTCCTGGCAGGTGAAGCACCTGCTCTCCCAACGTGCCCCCGCCCCCACCCATGGGGAAGGCTAGCTCGTCACTGAACTATTAGTGCTTAGCCCCTGGGGTGAGTCAGCACATCGGTGGATGGTGGATGCGTGGGGAGCTCACACTTGAGGAGCACAGGGGAGTGAGGAGGAGGGAGGAATATTCTGGAGCGTGAAGGACACAGCTCTAGGGAGGCAACTACTGGGCGGCGGGCGGCGGGGGGGCGATCCAGGGCAACTGGGAGGAAGGTGCCCAACAGACCTGGGCAAGGAAGTGGAAAGAAGGTGGTTGGAAGGCTCTAGAAATTTCTAGAATTCCTCCACTTCTTAGTTTTCTAATCACAGGTTAGCTGTCCCACCTGGGGCTCCTCCACTGAGTAGGGATACGAAGATCCCACAGAAGAGGAACCCGGGGCCCAGAGCTACAACACTGAGCCCAGAGGTGGGAGGACCTGGCTTGTTCCAGGAGGTGGGAGGGGGCTGGGGGCAGCCATCGGAGCCCCGAGCCGTGATGCCCGCGGTGTGAGAGCCAGGAGTCCGGCTGTGTGGGGCGCTGGGGGCCTGACATCCTTAAACCCGGGGTTCATTCCCAGTGGGGGTTACGGAACATGGCAGGGTGCCTGGGGCCAGGACCCACCCACAGAGGCCCCCCGGGTTTACAATAGCATCTGACTCCGCCCAGAGAGCTCCCCTTGGCTTATGAGCTCTTTCCCATCCGTTCACTTCCGTCTTTCCCCTCACGGTCTACCAACATGAAACGCTTTTAACTCCCTGTCACTACGATCCCTACCGGAGCGTTCGCCCAGGGTGCTGGGGGTGGTTCTCGCGTGACTTCTTCTTTATGACCGAGGGGGTCTTCAGGAACAGACTGTGGGCCAAGACAGTGGAAGCGAGTCAGCCGGACAGAAGCACACGCAGGACAACTCAGTGATGGGCGCGGGTTACGGGGCAGCCCCCTTTCTACCACACATTCCAGCCCGGCGTCCGCCACCGGCCGTGTCCCAGTGAGAACACAGGCCCCAGCGCCCGAGGGACTGCTGGGGGTCATGCATTTAGGGACAGAGGGACCCCGTTTAAACCATTTAACTCTGTGCCGTGCCACTTCCTCCAGCCCTGGAGAAGCTGTGTGTTGATGTGGAGTCGCAGGTGCGGGGATAAACGCGTCTGACCTGGGAGGTGGATGGGCAGGAGGCAGGGGCCGAGGCTGGCAGGCAGGCGGGCCGTGTGCTGCGGGAGGGGCCCATGCAGTGTGTGGCTGCGGCCGCGGGGGAAGGACCCACTGGGCCTGCCCGCACCCTCACCTGCCCCCACGCCCTGTCCCGCAGTCTGGGTGACCGTCACCGCCATCTCAGTGGAGACGCCGCCGGAAGTCCTGCGGGCTGCCCGAGGCCGGAGCGTCACCCTCCCCTGCACGTACCGCACCTCCGTCCTCGAGCGGAAAGGATTCATCCAGTGGGACAAGCTGCTGTGGAGCCACTCGGTGAGCGTCCCCTGAGAGAGGGCGTCCCGGACGGGCGGGTGGGACGCGGCAGAGTGAGCTCCGCTGAGGCAGAACCGACCTCAGTCCGCTCCAGGCTCCGTTTGATAAGCGATGAGTAAATTGGTGAATAAATAAACTCCAAAGGCAAGAACCAAGTACACGAAGTGGCCGGGAGCCAAGGGCGCTGCCCGCACGGTGCTGGCCTGTGGCAGGCGCCAGAACAGACCCCTGCGGGGTGAGAGCGAGGCGGGATCTGGGGGAACCCCATTTACCCTCGCGCCCCCCTGCCCAGCCCTTCAATATTGTCACTAAACTTAGGAAGATGCTGGGAGCCGGTGCCACAGAGGAGAGCTGCTTGGTCCGAGGGTGGCGTCGGTGCTGTGGGCGGGCAGGGCCTCGGGGTCGGCGGCACCTCGGGAGGAAGGGCCGCGCAGAAGCCTTAGGGTGAGGGCCAGGCGGCATCTCTCCTTCCTCCAGGAAAGGGTGCTCGCCTGGACATTTTCTACCAAAGACTACAACTACGGTAAACTGTATGAGAACCGTGTCAACCTGTCGGGCAATGCCGAGGAGTCCGACGCCTCCATCATCATCAACCAGCTGACCATGGACGACAACGGCACCTACGAGTGCTCGGTCTCGCTGCTCAATGACCTGGACGGCATCTCCAAGGCCCGAGTCCGCCTCCTGGTCCTGGGTGAGTGCCCCCCCTGCCTGTGGTAGGCAGCAGATGCGGCAGGGGTGCCAGGAGGACAGGTGCCAGGAGGACAGGTGCCTGGAGGGGGTGCCAGGAGGACAGGTGCCTGGAGGACAGGTGCCTGGAGGGGGTGCCAGGAGGACAGGTGCCTGGAGGGGGTGCCAGGAGGACAGGTGCCAGGAGGACAGGTGCCTGGAGGGGGTGCCAGGAGGACAGGTGCCTGGAGGACAGGTGCCTGGAGGACAGGTGCCTGGAGGGGGTGCCTGGAGGACAGGTGCCTGGAGGACAGGTGCCAGGAGGACAGGTGCCTGGAGGACAGGTGCCAGGAGGACAGGTGCCTGGAGGGGGTGCATGGAGAACAGGTGCCAGGAGGACAGGTGCCTAGAGGACAGGTGCCTGGAGGACAGGTGCCAGGAGGACAGGTGCCTTGAGGGGGTGCATGGAGAACAGGTGCCAGGAGGACAGGTGCCTGGAGGACAGGTGCCAGGAGGACAGGTGCCTGGGGGGGGTGCCTGGAGGACAGGTGCCTGGAGGACAGGTGCCAGGAGGACAGGTGCCTGGGGGGGGTGCCTGGAGGACAGGTGCCTGGTAGCAGCAGTGCCTGACCCAGAGCTGGGACTCCTCCGTTGTCCTCGGGCCTCAGGCAGGCACTGCGCCTCCCTCGGAGCTGCAGAACATTCTAGTTTCCAGAAGGGTGGCCGCTCCGCAGGGAGTGTTCCTGGGGCTCAGCCTGGGATCCTGTCCATGCTCTGATCACGCCTCTTCCTGGATACCTCTCCTCTTCTAAAAATCCTCACCCAAGGATATATTCACTGATTTTCAAAGAGAAAGGGGAAGGGGGAGAGAGACAGACAGACAGACATTGATATGAAAGAGAAACATCGATTGGTTGCCCCTATGGAACCGACCCTGGGCATGTGCCTGACCGGGAACCAACCTGCCACCGTTGGTGCATGGGTGACGCTCCAACCACCTGAGCCGCCCGCCAGGGCAGCCCTCTCCCCTTTTTCACACCCAACTTACTAACAACACGGCCGCCAGGCCGTCTGCCTTTCAAATACGCCCCAAACCCCATTCTCTTCCTACAAATAAGGTGAGTGGAGTCCACGTTGTGAGGGAATCTGCGCCATCGTCTACACTAGGATCTTCCCTCTGTAGACAAGGCCCAGGGAAGGCAGCGCCGGCTCCAAGTCAGAGCCGTGGGAAGCCTGTGGTAACACCTGTGCTGTGCCCAGCCAGGCACGGCCCACCCGCAAGGCAGCGCCCGTCTGAGTCTGACCCCCACGGGCCCCGTTTCCCCTTCAGTTCCTCCCTTTACACCACTCGGGGCGGGGAGGGGGGGGGGTTGTTCGTTGCCTGCGGTGGCTTCCTGGCTTTTTGAAGCTTTGCAGTGAGTCAAACAGCACAGCCCTGAATGGAGGGCTGTCTCCCCTCCCACACGCCCCACCAGCAGCAGATGGGGTGCTGACAGACCCGCCACGCTTCTCCGCATGTCCTCTCAACAGAGAGAGAGAGAGAGAGAGAGAGAGAGAGAGAGAGAGAGAGATTACCAAGCCAAGAAAATGAGCGTTTTCCCCCAGTCTCTCTTCTGCTCCCCACCCCCCATCCTCCCATTGCCCCGGTTCCCCAGCTGAGTCCCTCTCTTCCCACCGGGTCTTTGGTCTTTGCCTAATTCTGTCTCCCGTGGCCCTTTAAGCACCTGGGGCCCTCCTGCCGGAGCTGGCTGGGGAGGCAGCGGGCCCCACCCCGCCAGGGCCGCTGCATTTCAGTTAACTTGAAGGGCGAGGGGACACCCTTAATCTGAGGTTATGGAACTCGGTGAAACCCATTTTTTGCTTTAAAAAAAAGCGTGAGAGAGATCATATTGTACTATATGTCAAGAAACTCAGCAGTTTCTCTTAAAAAACAAAGTTTTTTTTCCAAATGGCTCTCCCGCGGGGCCAGTTTTGACCCATAAGGGCATTCATTATGTGGCACCACCCACCCAGGCTGGACGAGGCACGAGGCCCTGGTCACCCAAGGAGGCCGCCTTGCCTGGGACACCTGCCCGGTGCCCATGGGATCGCAGCCCCCCGGCCTCTGGTGCCCCCTGGTGTCCTCAGTGGGAGGCGCAGGCCCTGCGGTGGCCTCCGGCCCATTGTGTCCCTGCTCCACTTGCCCATCGCTCTGCCCGCAATAAGTATTCAGGTGGCATCTGCGTCCTGTCTGAGAGCGGACACCAGCCAACTAAGATCTGAGGTCTCCGGGGTCCCCACAGTGGGTGTAAGGGCTGCTGGGACAGAGGGGACAGAGGGACAGAGGGACAGAGGGGACAGAGGGGACTGGCCATGGGGACGCTTAGCACTGTGCGTGCTGCTCTGCGATGGGGACCCCTGAGGGCTGGGGAGGTGCTGTGCTGGGCTGACCTCGAGCGCTTGCCTCTCAGCTCTCGGCTGTGAATCTCTGTGCCTGTGAACAAACACGACTGCAGACGTGAGTGCGTGGGTGGGAGGTAGGTGGCTGTCACCAAGCCCCACCTACTCATGCCTTCTCTTGGCCCCTCCCTGCACAGTGCCACCCTCCAAACCTGACTGCAGCATCCTGGGCGACACCGTGATTGGAAATGACATCCAGCTGACCTGCCAATCGAAGGAGGGCTCCCCGGCCCCTCAGTACCGCTGGCAGAGCTTCAACCTCCAGAACCAGGAGCGGAAGGGCCCGCCAGGTAACCACACCCCCCGCAGCCGACTGCCAGGCTGCCAGGCTGCCAGGCTGCAGGGGGCCCGGAAGGCTGTCTCACTCTGCAGTGGGCACAGCTATGTCCTGGGTCATTTCTCTGGGCGCCGGTTTCTCATAGCCACGCCTACCTCCACCAGTTGCTGAGAGCAACAGCGGTGGCTTCACGAGAAGCACGTGGTGGGAGCACGTGATGCGCTTCCTCAGGCCCAGGACACAGGAGTCACTGAGAAAGCCCTGGTCGCAGCTCTGAGTACGATTATGTCAAGTTCACATTTGAGGCCCCACGTCCAACCCTGTGGCTCCACTCAAGGTGGGAATTTGCTGTCCCCATTCCCTCCTAGGCCGTCGGTCTCAGACTCCCCTGAACCTACTTCACAAATGAACCCCCCCCCCCCATGGCTGCACACCAGGAGACCGGGGCTGCGGAGAGGGCCCGTCCCATTGCCAGGAGGCCACTCCTGTCCTGGGGAGCTTGGTGTTTGACCGTTTGGTCAGGAAACAAACTGGGAGGGAAAATCCAAAAACTATATAAATATTCTCCGTCCTTACCTTGGAGCCCATGGTGTGGGAGCACCTGCTGGCCAGCTGCACCCAGAGCCAGTGGGCTGGGAACAGGGGAGGGAGATGTACAGCGTGGGGTAGGCATGTGCGTGGGGTAGGTGTGTGTGTGGGGTAGGCGTCAGTGTGAGGTAGGCATGTGTGTGGGGTCGGCATGTGTGAGGTAGGCATGTGCATGGAGTAGGTGTGTGCATGGGGTAGGCGTGTGTGAGGGGTAGGCGTCAGTGTGAGGTAGGCGTGTGCGTGGGGTAGGCGTGTGCGTGGGGTAGGCGTCAGTGTGAGGTAGGCATGTGTGTGGGGTAGGTGTGTGCGTGGGGTAGGCGTCAGTGTGAGGTAGGCGTGTGCATGGGGTGAGCATGTGTGTGGGGTAGGTGTGTGCGTGGGGTAGGCGTCAGTGTGAGGTAGGCGTGTGCGTGGGGTGAGCATGTGTGTGGGGTAGGTGTGTGCGTGGGGTAGGCATCAGTGTGGGGTAGGCGTGTGGGTGGGGTAGGCACGCGCAGGGTAGGCGGTGTCTGGAAAAGTCAGATGGGAGGGCAGCAGCCGCCGGCCCGGTGAGCCACATGAATGCCGGATGGGGCTCCCGTTTAACCGGGATGAACTTGCCACTCCATCCTTCACTCGTTTGGGGCAAAACAAGAACTTCTTAAAAGTAACGAAAGGAAAGAACTGCGGGAACCCCTCGGCCTAATGTGAAA